TCGGCCATCGGTTTACGTGCACGCGTGCACGCATTTCGAGTTGTCTTGTTTTCATCTGATGGCCTCCTATGTGAGTGTGGCTGAGGCTCTCTCATGTTGGTGTAAGCCCATTATCGCATTGCGTATGCCATTTCATCCATAGCATTGTGTATGCTCGGTTGTGTATTACTTGATTGCATTGTGTATGCCATTCCATAACATTGTGTATGTTAGGATTGTATCTTAGTTGCATTTCATGCATGTCATGCATATTGCATCGTGTTCGGGATAGGAGTTAGCCCGGGCACGGGAAACGAGGTACGTTTCATACTCCGAGTAACGGAACGTGTCTCAATTCCCAGTCTCCGACACTCCGAATTATCCATGATGGAGTTAGGTTCTTGCTGTGTTTATATGTGCATTCATTCTACATTGAATTGCACAATTCGACCCCTCGGCCATCATGCATCGATATGCATGATTGGTGGCACGAGGATCGAGGCATGCATATATCTGTGAAAATACATTGCCATGCCCCTTTCCTGCTCTCTGTTGCAGCAAAATGAAGAATCAGCGGTCTTCCGAGGCTTGGCACGCATTTCAAGAATATGTGCAAACAGAGGCTAATTGGGGCATCGTCATGGATTTCCGCACAAAAGCAACCCGAACATGAATCATTCATCACCCGAAGCGGAATCAAGGCAGTCTCTGGCTTGCATGCCAGTTTTCATAGCTTTCTTAGTTAATTTGTTAATTAATTAGGAATTTGTACATTATTTGGACTGTAATATTTGGACTGTACTATTCTTTCATTTGGGACTGTATTATTTATTCGGACCCTCTGCGCGAGGGCACAACTGTAATAAGTGTGCGTGTGTGTGTTGTATGTCTTCCAACCCCATGTCTTTCTCCCTTTTATTTATCTGCTTATGATGGTTAGATTAGGGCATATTTCAATTAGCATATAGTATGGCAGCATGTTTGCATCATTCATCTGTTTTGCATGCACCGGGCTCGGCGCATCATACTAACTACATTGTATTCTCAATTCTAAATTGAATACATGTTAGTTGTAGCATTTCATATGCCATGTTTAGAATAGCCGAGCCTGCTATAGTTGCACTCTTGCATGTGTTGCATTAGGCATTTCAGCATATTTAGGATCATGCATGGATTTCTAATTAGCTTTTGTTTTGGCTTGGAGTACTCGGTAAGTTTTATGCTTTAGCATCCTTGCATGTGTGTGAGTGACTGCCATGAATAGCATGCTTACCATGAGGCTATTTGCTTATGTGATATAACTGCCTGAATGCCTGTGGGTGAAGGTTGGGTTATTTGGATTGGAACAAATCATTGACTGTGAGTTTTAAGCCCACTAGATAGTGGCAAAACCATCTTTCCTAAGCCCACCTGAGGGTGGCAAAATCTGCATCTTTAAGCCTACTTGCGAGTAGCAAACCATCTTTCAAAAACAAACATGAAATGTTTTGTTCCAATTCAGCTGACCCAGTCTATACTTGTATGCTGTGCGCATCACATAGTAAATCTAGGCTAATAACCGGGATAAGAACACACAATGTTTTCAAAACTAGATATCATGGTTAGTAGAGGCCGATCTTTGATCGGGCGAGCGAGGGTGCTCACGAAATGACCTTCCCCAATCGTACCCAAGTTCCCGAGCCAAGGCAACTTTGGTGATGACGGACACGTGGCCTTAGGCAACGAGTTAGGGTTTCCTAAATTTCTCCCAAAATAAAATATTTAGGTGGCGACTCTGTATCTGGCAAAACAGTCCATGTTTGGCACTTCTTTCAAAAAAATCTGTTTTCTCAAAACGATTTGCCGGATTTGGACTCTTTGGTTCAGACTTAGAACCGTGACATTTTAGAGTCCTGAGCTGTAGTGACCCCAAATGAACAGAATGGGATTTCCCTCCCGGGGCGTTCGGGGACGTCTACAATAATACGCTCACTGGCTAGCCAGTGATCACTGCCAGGCTTGCTAGTAAACCTGCTAAGTACTCCAACTGCATAGGCAATGTCAGGTCTAGTACAGTCAGTCGCATAACGCAAGCTACCAATCACACTAGCTTATTCCTTTTGATTAATTACATCCTCATCATTTTCGATAGGAAATAAACACATATGAGGATCAAAAGGAGTAAGAACATGCTTGCAGTTATGAAAATTATATTTTCTCAAAATTTTCTCAACATAATGCGACTGATCAAGAAATATACCATCAAAGGTTTTGGTAATTTTCATTCTCAAAATATAATTAGCCTCACCAAGATCTTTCATATCAAAATGACTACTAAGTATATTTTTAATTTCCACGATGATATGCAAATTAGAGCCAAATATAAGTAAATCATCCACATAGAGGTTAATAATGACATGTGAATTCTCTTCAAATTTATAGTAAATGCATTTATTACATTCATTCGTTTTGTAGTCATTCTCAATCATACATGAATCAAATTTCTCATGCCACTATTTAGGGGCATGTTTTAAGCCATATAGGGATTTAACTAGCTTGCACACTTTGCTTTCTTGATCGGGTTCCACAAAACCCTCAGGTTGATTCATATAAATTTCTTCACCCAGATCTCTATTTAAAACGGTTGTTTTAACATCCATTTGATGAATTTTTAGATCATGAATTGCAGCCACTGCAATTAATAATCTAATGGATGTAACTCTAACAACCGGAGAAAATGTATCAAAAAAGTCAAGATCTGCTTGTTGTTTAAAACCTTTTGCAACAAGCCTTGCTTTATATTTATCAATAGTTCCATCCAGTTTAAGTTTTTTTTCTCAAAACCCATTTACAGCCAATAGTTTTACAACCTGGTGATAAATCTACTAATACCCAAGTTTTATTGGATAATAATGATTTCATCTCATCATTTACAGCCTCGTTCCAAAAAACAAAGCCAGGAGATGCCAAAGCTTCTTGTAAAGTTAATGGAGTTTCCTCCACGTTAAAAACATGATAATCAGGGCCAAAATCTTTTTTTAATCTGGCTCTTTTACTCCTTCTAGGTTTAAAAACTACAGTGTCTTGGTTTTGTAAAAGAGGAATAGAGGAACCAGTTTCAGATAAAATATTTTCTTGATAATTTTGACCCCCACCATTTTTAGATTTAAAAGGAAATTTTTCTTCATGAAAAATTACATCACCTGATTCAAAAATTATTTTGTTTTCCATATCAAAAAATCTATAGGCTGTACTATTTGTTGCATATCCAAGAAAAGCACAAGTGGCAACTTTCACACTTAATTTAGGTCTTTTAGGGTCCACAAGTCTAACAAAAGTTAGGCAACCCCAAATCCTCAAATATCTCAAATTTGACTTATGCTCTTTCCACAACTCAAAAGGTGTAACTTTTATTTTTTTATGTGGCACTCTATTCATAACATAACATGCAGTTAACATTGCTTCTCCCTACAAATTTGAAGAATCACCTGCTTCAATTAGAATAACATTTGTTAAATCAATTAAAATTCTATTTTTCCTTTTTGCTACACCATTGGATGCAGGTGAATATGGTGGAGTAGTTTCATGGATTATTCCCAAAGACTGAGCAAACGAGTTGAATCCAAAAGATTCATACTCTCGGCCTCTATCACTCCTATACCTTTTAATCTTTTTACCGAATTAATTTTCAACTTCAAGAAGGAATTATTTAAATTTTTCAAAAGATCACTTTTATTTTTCAACAAGTATACATAAGTGTATTTTGAAAAATCATCAATAAAAGTGATAAAATATCTATTTCCACCACGTGTTAAAATTCCTCCAAATTCACATAAATCAGTGTGAATTAATTCTAACAATTCAGTATTTCTCACCACACTTTTATGAGGCCTTTTAGTTATTTTTGCTTGACTGCAAACTTCACATTTCTCAAATTTATTTGTTAGTTTGGAAATTAATCCTAAACTATTCATGACTCCCACATATCGACTATTAATATGACATAGACGAGCATGCCAAAAATTCATAGAAGACATCATGTAAGCTGAAACATGTGCTTTCTTATTATCAACATTTAATTTAAACATTCCATCATAGGCATACCATTTTCCCACAAATATGCCTTTTTTAATGATTACATATTGGTCAGATTCAATAGTCTGCTTGAAACCAGCTTTGTTGAGCAAATAACTTGACATCAAATTTTTCTTCATGGACGGTGTGTACAACACATCTTTTAAAATAAACACACGTCCAGAGGTAAAATTCAGCTCAACATCCCCATACCCGAGCATCTTGGTTAAACTTGAGTCACCAAGCATAACAGTCTTCTCCTCATTAAAAGAAGTGAAATCTTTGAACCAATCTTTATCATAGCAGACATGCCTATTGGCACCAGAGTCTGCCCACCACCCTTCTACAGATTGAACCATAAAAATATCTGTGATCTTAGCCACAAATTGTTTCTCGATAATAATAGCTTGTGGTCAAGACTGTTGTTTTCGAAATTTACAAATTCGAGCAATATGCCCACTTTTGCCACACACAAAACATGTCACATTTGTCAGATCTTGTGAAAGGGGTTCTTGGTTCCATTTCTTTTACCTCGGGTAGTTTTTATTTTGTGGCCTTCCAGTATTTTTTCAAATTTTCTTAACTGGCTTCAAGTGACTATTTTTATGAAATTGACCTTTAAGTAAAGTATTTCCAGAAGTTAAATTTACCTTTGCAGTGGAATGCTCTTGTGTCATAAGCGCATCTTGTCCTCGTGCTTCCTTCTCCACCCGAATCCGTGTGATTAGAGTCTCCAAGGACGTCTCTTTTTGCTTGTGACGCATTGACTTCTGGAATTCCCTCCAAGATGATGGAAGTTTGTCAACAATACCTGCTACAACAAGATTGTCTCCAATTTTGATACCTTCAGATCTAACTTCAGCCACTAGCATCTGAAAATCTTGAACTTGTTCCACCACTGATTTTCCATCTATCATTTGATAGCGGAAAAAACGACTTGCAGCATATTTTTTAGCTCATGCATCTTTAGTGTCATATTTGTTCTGTAAGTCTTTCCAAATTTTCTTGGCAGTGGTGTAAGTAGTATCATAATAATCATAAAATTGATTTGAAAGACAATTCAAAAGATAGTAATGACATTTATATTCATCTGTGTTATATTTTTCGATTTTTTCAAGATGAGCAGCATACTCCTCGTCGGTCATCTCTTCAGTGGGGACTTTGTTCGGATTTTTCTCAGTCAGGATATACGCCACCTTGAGGAGACTGAGGTAGAAAAACACCTTGCATTTCCATCTCTTAAAATGAGCTCCTTTGAACCAGAAGGGCTTGTTAAGATCACCGGTATTCTCGTTAGGCTTCTCCAGTACTGGCTCCATGAACTTTTGCTATTTGAATCTTCTTAAAATTGTTGGTGATAATTACAAATAAAACACTACAAAATACAAATAATAGAAATTACAATAATTATTGAAAGAGCTGAGGCGCGAAAAATTCGCTCTCTTTAAGAAGATTCAAGCCCTCTGCGGTTAGACAAAGTCTCACACCGGTGCAGCAGAAAAAACCTTGACTTGTCCCCCCAGGATACAACAGCCCGACTAAGTCGTATGGTTCACCAATACTGCACAATTGGTTGAACCCAAAACTTTATCACACACACCCTTTTTATTTGTCTGATAATCTCACTCAAGACATAACTACACAACCAAAACTTCTTCTCTCGTATGTTTTAAGATATGACATAAGTTCAATATATATAAAAAGGAAACTTAATAGGCAAGGTTCTTAGTGGATAAGATAACAAGAGACTTGACCAAGACCTTAGAAGCTTATCTAGGAAGACTTGGAATGGATAAGTCTTCGCAAACCTTATCTTGGAAGATTTTGATGGATAGGAATGGGGAGACTAGGAAGACTTGAAAGGATAAGACATGAAGAAAACCAATAACACATTATAAATTTTCCTAGTCTTCCCAAGACTTATCCATTTTAAATTTTCCTAGATAAGCTTTCAAAATCTTGGTCAAGCCTCTTGTTATTTTATACACCAAAAACCTTGCCTATTAAGTTTCCTTTCTATATATATATATATTGAGCTTATATCCTATCTTAGAACATCCGAGAGAAGAAATTTTGATTGTGTTGTTATGTCTTGAGTGAGATTATCAGGCAAATAAAAATGGTGTGTGTGATAAAATTTTGGATTCAACCAATTGTGTAGTATTGGTGAACCATACGACTTAGTCGAACTGTTGTATCTTGGAGGGACAAGTCAAGGTTTTTTCTGCCTCACCGGGGTGTGCAGAGGGCTTGAATCTCCTTAAAAAAAACGAATTTCCCGCGCCTCAGCCCTTTCAATAATTATTGTAATTTCTATTATTTATATTTTCTAGTGTTTTATTTGTAATTATCACTAATTTAAATAAATAAATAAATAAATAAATAAATAAATAAATTATTATCAGGGCTGAGGCGCGGGAAACTCGCTCTCTTTAAGGAGATTCAAGCTCTCTGCGGTTAGGAAAAACCTCACACCGGTGCAGCAAAAAAAACCTTGACTTGTCCCCCCCAGGATACAATAGCCCGACTAAGTCGTATGGTTCACTAATACTGCACAATTGGTTGAACCCAAAACTTTATCACACACACACTTTTTATTTGCCTGATAATCTCACTCAAGACATAACAACACAACCAAAACTTCTTCTCTCGTATGTTCTAAGATATGACATAAGTTCAATATATATAGAAATGAAACTTAATAGGCAAGGTTCTTGGTAGATAAGATAACAAGAGACTTGACCAAGACCTTGGAAGCTTATCCATTTCAAGTCTTCCTAAATAAGTTTCTAATGTCTTGGTCAAGTCTCTTGTTATCTTATCCACCGAGAACCTTACCTATTAAGTTTCCTTTCTATATATATTGAGCTTATCTCTTATCTTAGAACATATGAGAGAAGAAGTTTTGGTTGTGTTGTTATGTTTGAGCTTATCTCTTATCTTAGAACATATGAGAGAAGAAGTTTTGGTTGTGTTGTTATGTTTTGAATGAGATTATCAAACAAATAAAAATTGTGTGTGTGATAAAACTTTGGGTTCAACCAATTGTGCAGTATTGGTAAACCATACGACTTAGTCGGATTGTTGTATCCTGGGAAGACAAGTCAAGATTTTTGTCAAGATTTTTTCTACTACACCGATGTGAGACTTTGCCTAACCGCAGAGCGCTTGAATCTTCTTAAAGAGAGCGAATTTCCTGCGCCTCAGCCCTTTCAATAATTATTGTAATTTCTATTGTTTATATTTTCTAGTGTTTTATTTGTAATTATCACTAATAATTAAAAAAAAAAAGAAAAAAAAGAAGTAGCTCTGGTGGATTGCAAGAGTACACTCTGTTCCGAAAATTGCAATAGATCCGAGTCTGAGAAGAGAGACATCTGGGGAGAGAGAGAGAGATCTGTGACGGTAGCACCGTCAGCGGCGCAGAGTGGACGGCGGAGGAGCACACCCGCCACGACGACCGGAGTTCTGCCATCAAATTCGCCGTCGCTGGTGATGGCGGTAGCTGTGGTGGATCGTGTGCGTAGTACGACGGCGGACGAATCTCATCGAGGATGATGTCGGAAAGGAGTAGAGGAAGCTAAGAATGAGAGAGTGGGAAGATTTGTCTAAGATCGCCATTGTTGGAGAGAGGTATCGGTTGGGAGGGTTAGGGATTGAGATTGTTGATAGAGAGAGAGAGTAGTTTCATCTCCTCTTCTTCTTCTTCTACTGTTGACTCTCTCAACACAGATCATCGGCGCTGCTGTAACTGAGATCGACGGCGACGGCGATCTTGTCGCTGAGAGCAGAGAGAGGAAAGAGAACGTACCCTAGCTAACTGATACAGAGAGAGAGAGAGAAAAAATGTGGATTGGTAATAAGAAGAAGCGTGACTCCACCGACAGGCTAATTTAATCATTTTACAAAGGATGTCCTTATGATATAATGAAAAAGCGCATGGACCATCAGACCCAAAAAATTTAAATTTAGGCATATTTTAGAAAGTGACCTTTTAATTTTTAACTCAATTTCTATTCTCATAAAAAAAAAATAAAAAAAAAATATCTTCCCAAAACACCCTCTAGACTTTTCGTCCGAACGTGCTAATAATTGACATTATAAATTGTTTTACCTATTTGAAATTATTTTGTAAAAGACCGACTGCACTGTAAATTTCCCTTTATTATAAGGCATATATATTGAAATCTTTTTTTAAGCCTAAAGATGTGTATAAATTTATGTCTGTCTATTTTATCATTAGATTTTAATTACAAATTTATAATATATTTCATGTTTATTGATTTAGCCCATATGTGTATTTATTGCGTGTATAAAAGAATCTTAAATACAAATACATAAGATTCATAATCTTTTTACGTGTATATCTAAAGAAAAAATGAGTGATCTATTTTAAAAAATACATATATCATTTATTATTTTAGAAACAAAACACTAAAACAAAAATACTACAATTATCATATCAACTTAATTTTTTTATAAATAATATACACAAGCAAAATAAATTGTTCATATCATCACAAAAATAAGACTTTTACTAAGCCCCACGAATTAAAATAATTCTTTTAAATTCAAATTTAAACTTTGCAGTCCAACCAAAATAAAAAAAAACAATGTGCCTTATTTTAGTGAGAAAATTCATTCAATTTGTGGATCACAAAACATATGAAGGGATATACCTATGCCTTGACCAATTCTCAAAATATATATATATATATATATATATATATATGTATAGAAGTCAAAATTTTATATTTTTTTCATAAATATCTATTTAACTAAAAAAAATAGTATATTAATTTTTTTATTTCACAAAAAAAATTAAAATATCAAGAAACCATTACAGAACCCAAATAAAATATCAAGAAACCTAACAACCCCATGCCATGGTTGGGCCACTTCATTTCATTCCAAATTCATTTCATTTTCATTTCTATCCAATATCATTCCAACAAATCAAACTTCCCTTAAAAGTTTAGAAATTATTTGGAAATTAACAAAGGGGTTGGTGTTTCCGTAAAGGGCAAGCAAAGGCAGGAAAATTATCTGAAAATTTACAATAGGTTACCCATATAATTTCTGTTCATGCAATGCAATATAAAAGGGTGCATTCCAAAGTATGTTATGAATAAATTTTAACCATTTATTTGTTATATTAAACTCTTAAATAGTATAAGATCTATGTCCACACTGGATTCAGTTTGAATTTGTCATAGGAGACTTGATGCAGACAAGACTACCCATCAATGCTCCAACTCTTCTGAGTAAGTTCATAAATTAATTTCTAGGCAATTCATAAACCTAACAACCTCATGCCATGGTTGGGCCACTTCATTTCATTCCAGATTCATTTCGATTTCATTTCTATCCAATATCATTCCAGCAAGTCAAACTCCCCTTAAAAGTTTAGAAATTATCTGGAAATTTACAAGGGGGTTGGTGTTTCCATAAAGGGCAAGCAAAGGCAGGGAAATTATCTGAAAATTTACAATAGGTTACCCATATAATTTCTGTTCATGAAATGCAATATAAAAGGGTGAATTCCAAAGTATGTTATGAATAAATCTTAACCATTTATTTGTTATATTAAACTCTTAAATAGTATAATATCTATGTTCACACTGGATTTAGTTGATCTCTTATTGAATTTGTCATAGGAGACTTGATGCAGACAAGACTACCCATCAATGCTCCAACTCTTTTGCGTAAGTTCATAAATTAATTTCTAGGCAATTCATAAACCTAACAACCCCATGCCATGGTTGGGCCACTTCATTTCATTACAGATTCATTTCAATTTCATTTCTATCCAATATCATTCCAGCAAATCAAACTCTCTTTAAAAGTTTAGAAATTATCTGGAAATTTACAAAGGGGTTGGTGTTTCCATAAAGGGCAAGCAAAGGCAGGGAAATTATCTGAAAATTTACAATAGGTTACCCACATAATTTCTGTTCATGCAATGCAATATAAAAGGGTGCATTCCAAAGTATGTTATGAATAAATCTTAACCATTTATTTGTTATATTAAACTCTTAAATAGTATAATATCTATGTCCACACTGGATTCAATTGATCTCTTATGGAATTTGTCATAGGAGACCTGATGCAGACAAGACTAGCCATCAATGCTCCAACTCTTCTGAGTAAGTTCATAAATTAATTTCTAGGCAATTCATAAACCTAACAACCCCATGCCATGGTTGGGCCACTTCATTTCATTCCAGATTCATTTCGATTTCATTTCTATCCAATATCATTCCAGCAAGTCAAACTCCCCTTAAAAGTTTAGAAATTATCTGGAAATTTACAAGGGGGTTGGTGTTTCCATAAAGGGCAAGCAAAGGCAGGGAAATTATCTGAAAATTTACAATAGGTTACCCACATAATTTATGTTCATGCAATGCAATATAAAAGGCTGCATTCCAAAGTATGTTATGAATAAATCTTAACCATTTATTTGTTAT